AAGCAGTGACTGCTCTAGTAAAACCAACCATTCTCTGCAAATTCAACTCTTACAGCATGAGCCAGTAACCAGTCAACTACGCTGGGCTTTTGTGAAAAATCCAAAGGGCATTGAAGATCATCTAAATACTGAAAAAAATTATGAATTTCAATAAATGTAATTTAAGCTTTTCTTTCTTTTCAGTCCCAAGTTTAGTCAACATCATCACTTTTCAGCTGCAGGAGTGCACAAATAAATAATAGGAACAATGTTGTAAGCAGCCTATAGAGCAATCATTTCTTTGTAAAGTGTGACTGCTGCCTTAGATTTAATTTCCAAAGCAGAGGAAAGCCAGAGAAAGAAAAAATTCTACCTAGAAGTAGACATTAAGCAAGACGAAGAAAGGGAAGTGGTGAGGAATGGAAAAATATCCTGTCTAATCTTTAATCAAACTGAAATATAGTTGTCCAGAAAACAATCCCAAGCTTGTAGTTCCCTTAAAAGAAGCACCCTTTACTGCGGGCTAAGACACAATAAGGTTGTCGTTTGAAGTGTTCAAGTGGGAAAAAATTGTCTGACAGAAGGGAAATGGATACTTTTAAGACTGCTGAAGACCACACACGGTCATCCCAATCTTGGAATACTTCCTATACTGTGCCTACTGCAAAATAGTTTCTACTACTTTTTCCAACTCATAACTTTGTCTTAAGTTCTTATGGGTAAAATGCACTTAAAGTCAAACAACCTCTGAGTTTAATTTCTCGTCCGTTTGACCGTAAAAAAAATAAAAAAACGTGTACCGAATAATTATTAGTTGTTCCACGTGTGACTTCGAATTCACCGGGGATTACATAAACAAGACGACTACAAGGATTAAAAAAATAGGGAATTTAAAGTAAAATTTCCATCAAATCCCTTCTCTTCGTCACTTCTTCTTCTCACGAACAGTTTTTTCCGGTTCGACAGGAAATAAATTTTCACCTTTTTTAGACTTTTTGTCCATTCAATCTTTTTAGTATCTCTGAGTTCCTTCCGCTCGTCTATTTTGTAGTAGCGAATTTTCTGGTCTTCCAGCCATACAACAAGGTTTCTGAATTCGTCTTCATCTGAAAGTTAAGCAGGACATTTAAATGACGCCACGTTGATAAAGGATTACACTCACAAATCTTACGACAGTACAGCCTTGTACTTGTAGAAAACTTTCCGGCTAATAATAAATCAAAGGTTTCATCTTGAAAACATTTTCATCTTGACTAGAGGTAACTTACTATTCACGTCAAAAGTTTCCGGGTGATGATATCCCAAGGCCTTCAGTTTTCGCCTGTACATGCTCATAGGATTGCATGAGTGAGTTTTCCTTGAAGATCTCTCATCGCACCGCAGAGAAAACGTGCTGAGATTTATGTTGCTTGGTGTCATCAGAAAGGGACTAGGGCGAGAATTGACTGCGGGCTCATCGAAGCTTCAAAATGGCGGACGAACATTGACGATTGTGTTTAAATAGATTGTTTGCGCGTAATTGCTAATTTCCCACTGTTTTTACAGGGGACTTACTAAAAACCCAGCGTATGTTTCCAAAATGAAAAAAGCAACTTGAGAGTAGATTTCAAGTTTAGTGAACAGAATGGTCCATCTCTGTAGATGTCTACATTATCGTGGTGTCAATCCTTGCTCGAGCGCGTTGGAGCGCTTTTTGAGGTTCGCAGGGAACAGTGGTTGTGATCAGTCCTCTAGAAGCACCCACACAGACAGCAGCAAGACTTCTCAATTTTGGTTCGACCTGGATAAACTTGAAACATTGAATCGGCGAGAACTGCAACAACTGTGTAAGAAATGTGGTATAAAAGCGAACAACAAGACTTCGATTCTTTTGAGTGATTTGAAGGAATTTCACTTGCTTCATCTCACGAACCCGAACTCAGTTCTGCGCTTGCCTTTCATAGCTCAAACTAATTCTGCATATCATACTCCGGTGAAAGGTGACAAAAGGTATTTTCTTCCAACTGGACTGAGGCTTGATAAAAATAATATTTTATTTAGTTCTACTGAGTCTCCTGGTCAGTGGATAAGTGGGGAGGTGAAAAAATTACACAAAGCCGTAAAATCAAAGGGAATTGTCTCCAAGACTGTGGGGGAGTACAAAGGTACAACAAATGGAACAAAGCAAAGGGAATTTCCAGTTAAAGGAGACTTGTATTTGACTAAAAATGCTAGTGTCTCAGCCATTTTGAATACTGCATCAAACAGGTTCATGATTGCCGTTTGGCAGAAACAACAGATAGAAAAGATGGGAGAAGAAATGTTTAATGAGTACAGAAATTTAATAGCCAAAAGTGGGAAAAAATTTCACTCATGCATGACAGACATTCTTCACAAAAAGGCAGAGGATACAGACAAGTTTCCAGAAATTGTTTCAAGCTTGATCAAAAGTGTCTCCAAAACTGGGATTCTAAAGCTTCTCACGAAGGACAAGGTGTTAGCCACAGAGGAGTATGTGACACACTCTTCTATTGGTTATTCAGGTACTTTTGATGGACTAGCTATCTATAATGGGGTACCTTGTGTGATTGAATGGAAAACATCGCAAAAGCCCAGACCAACACTGGAGAGTTGTTATGATGCTCCATTTCAAGTGGTGGCTTATGCTGGGGCTATCAATTCTTATCCTGTAATGAGGATTCCTGTAACAAGTTGTTTGATTGTTGTTGCACACCATGATGGCTCAGAGGCAGATGTTCATTGGATGGACTTAGATACTTGTGAGAAATTGTGGCAACAATGGCTGACTAAAGTGTTAAAATACAAAGAGAAAACAGAACATGTTTCAGAGAAAAGTGATGCCTCTTGAAACAATATCAACGTCTTGGTTCTTCTATACCTGGGACTCAAAATTGATCATATATTCAGGAAAAATGAAACAAAACTCATCTGTGCATACATGGTGTAAGATTTATTTAAATATTACCTCCCCTCTGGTTGTAACCTGGCCCTGTACATCACAGGTAACTCCATCCCTCACCATCATTCCTGTGATAGTTTACCAGACCCCATAATGTGGTGCTTCAGTGCCACAAAAAAACAGTTAAGGTTAACTGTCTGAACTGTTCAGTGTATACATAATGTAACATTTATTGAAATTGTTCACCCACATCTGCTCAGTGGAGGAAGATGTGATGACATAAGCTAAAACATGGCCATAAATATTACCTTGTACACCTTGCCTTGTACACCACAAGTAACTCCAGCCCGTAACATCATTCCTGGCAAATCTGTCACATTTTACCAGACCCCATAATGTGGTGCTTCTGGGTCAAAAAAAAAAAACAAAACAAAAAACACTCAGGGTAAACTGTATGAACTGAACTTATCTGGCCCTATCAAAGGCTTCAACCCAGAACTCCAATCTAAGCAAACCAAGAGTCCAGTATACGATTTTATGTCCAGTATACGATTTTATGTACAGGTAATGCTGGAGGAGATTTTTGCTCCAGAGGCCATATTGTTTGTATCTCCATTAAAATAATGTTCAAAGGTTTACTGCTCACTGGGTGTTGGGTAACCGGTCGTTTCGCCTTCGAATCGTTTTACTAACAACCAGTTCCCAAACGTTTTAGGTCGTTTCACCAACGTCTCAGGTTAGTTCGCTAACGTCTCATAGGTCGTTTCGCCAACGGGTCAGGTAATGTCACTAAAGAAACGATTGCCTGACGAGCACAATTCATGTGTTGACATTTCAAAGAGACAACCTAAGTGTTGACAATTGTCTTAGGATATGCTAAAATATCGCGTTCTGAAGCTGCATCCAAAAAATTTCATTGAGCTATAGACTGTAAGGATAACAACTTCTAATTGTTACAGATCAGTGGGACATGGAGAAAGGAGACTGAGATTTTGTCCCTAACCTTTTTATACAGGTATGGGGCCAATTTGCTAACCAATGGTACTTGAACAAGCGAATCAAAACCTATAACTTTATAGGTGTGGTTGCACACACTGCAGTAGGGATGGCATTTCCAGCGTTGGATCATCCCCTCGGTGCATCGCACGTGGGATTTTGTACGAAACCCGCTGCGCTCGCTCCGTACTGCCACGATTTCAGGCCAATGATCCTCGGTAGGGCTCTCGCGCTTGGCTCTCTCGCTTCCTTAGCACCGCCTCTGTAAGAAGGCAGCCACATGAAGTCTCTGCAAGCAAAGCACAAATTTAAAGAAAATCTGGAAACAACGTGCCGTACCATCTTGGAAGTTTGACTAGCCGCCGCTTTGCGAGATTTTGGAAAACTTCCTTGAACTAATAATATTTAGAAAAGAAAAAAAAAAAAGAAAGAAAAATGGGTTAGCTAGAAAATTGTTCTGGAAAATACCTTGCTAATTCTCCAATCAGCTTTAGGTGATTTTTTAACATGGCTGGACTGCTCTTCTAATGCACAGTATCTTTGGGACCCTCACCTCCATACGATGCCTAAAAACCAGCGACGAGAGGAATACGTGATCTAGTCCGATTGTTGGAAGGTGTGATATGAATAGGCACTCAATCTAAAATCAAATATATTTCGGCCACAACATCTGTACTGCTAACAGTCTTGAGGTGTTCAGAACTGACTTTACGACGTGACAATGGCTGAAGTATAAAAAGCATCACCTTTTTCTCGACTTAGCCCTTTTATCCTGAGCATAGTTTCCCCAACCAATGCCTGAAAAGATTGGTTTCCATTTCCGAGAATTTTGTATTAAAACTCTCAATTTGGGAAGGACGTTCCCAACTCAGCTAAGATTCTTTGTTTTTATTAGTGATTTCAAATGGCACACCGTTCATTATACATTTATCCTCAGGTCTTGTTCATCTTATCTATTTTATTCCGTTTCCAGCTACACACTTGGTATTTTTCTCCTATTTCACAGTACTCATTCTGTAATTTTCCCCTGCTTCGTCTTTAATCTGACTTTTGATCCTTTCCCTAATCTTTCTTTCCTATCATTTTTCGTCTTTCTCCTTTCCTCAACTATCTGTTTGTTTTGTCTGCCGCTTATTGGCTCTTCCAAGTAAGGGCTCCGAATGTGCAAAAAAACGGACGTCTGCCGTTAGCTCACGGAATGCATTATTGTAGACAATTTCGCTTTGGGAAATGGATGAGTCATGATTTGAAATGAAAGCAGGGATAAAAACCAATCTGCCATAGTTAGCTATGCAATACTAGCTTACTGCACTGATTTTCTGATTGAACACGGTGCTAACTGCTAAAGTTTGCTTGGAATTCCGGATTTAACAATGGGTGCCTAATAAGGTAATGCGATTGTGACGTAAATGACGATGTTGCAAATTTTCACAAAGTTCAACCTGGTTTTTCCTTGCGGAAATGAAATCTCCCAAACTTGTTTTTATAACCTCGAAAACAATACTGTTTCCCCTTATTATGAGCTTCACCTAAGTTAAAACGCTTGGGGAAAATGTTAATTGAAAATTCGCTACGAAATGTGATATTTGGGTTTCAAAATACTGTTGATTTTCAAAAGCGTTTCGTAAGCTCGAAATTAAATGAAATGGCCTCATTTTATACTGAAAACTATACCTCAATCCGAATAAAGGCTGATAGTTTCTTAAAAAAACTTTTTGGCGCTGCGTCGGTGGGGGTAAGGAAATAATTTGAATATATCAACAAAGTTGATACAACCCATTATACCTCAATCCCTCTGATATAAATTAATCAAAATGATACGAGATTGCTTTCTTTAATTTTGCACTTTTCAAGAACTAAGTTTATTTGCCCCTAATCGGGGCACTGATTTCCGCCATTTTACGGCTACCGACGTTCGTTTCAGTTTTTGTGAACTTTCTAGGATCAAGAAGCAACTATAGGAAAAAAAAACCCTTTCCACGTTTCTAAGTTTACGGTGTGTCTGACTGAAATATGAGAATAGTAATTCTTCGGTTGTAGCGCCACCTCTCATTCAGTCATGGAAATAAGTCGTTCTTCTTATTTTCAGAAGTCCTCCCTCGATAATGAAGTTCTAACTAATTCCAGAGCGATTTCTAATATAAAAGCAGTTTCCTAAATTATCGAGAAAGTAATGGCGTTTCGTTTTGTTCAGTATTTGGAGCTTATTACCTTCAGTGAACTTCTAAAATCTGCCTACAAGCTACTGTATCATTGCAACACTGCTTTACTTTTTGACTTGCATTTGGATGTTTTGAAACATCCAAAAGTTTAAAAAAAACATAAAACGTCTATTTTGGGTGAAAACCCCTCCAGAACGAAAAGAATATTTAGCTACACCAAGCGGTACGTATGGATCGGAGGTAAGGAATCCGTCTGTTTTGCTTACAAGTCGATTCCTATATTATTGCTAGACTAAGGGCAGTTTATCAGGCATTTCAAAGGAATAAAGCAACCGGGAAAATAAAGAGTTCGTAAACATTTTAATAATGGGTACAGGTGCATAAAATAATCAGTAAAACTAGTCTGTTATTATAAGCCTTTACCTAATTATCATCAGACCCGTTCGGGGGGGGGTGGGGTGGGATCAACCGTTAGCCGTAGAATGTCCAAAATATTTCGCCATTAAAGGACATAAAAATTGAGAAATTTTAACCGTTAGTTGTAAAACTATTTAATTGTAATAATTTTTCTGGTGACTACAATGGTAAATTGGTAAATTGTCATACTTTCTTTTTCCGACTCGATAAAAAGAGAAAACACCTTTGTGTAGAGCATTTTTTGTAGTTATCCAGTGCGCGCGTCTGACGGTCTTTGTATGAAATCGCATCCTCTTTGATTTCGGCCTCATGATGACACCGAAACGTCGGTTTTTATCGTTAGTTTTTGCTAGTCTTTGATTTAAGCTCAAATATATACTCAAAATTTTTGAACTTAGTGGTAAGATGATAAAATACTTACTGACTGAATTTGGTCGGGCTGTACAGGCGGAAATGATTTGACTCTCGGTCATCCGCCCGACATTCCCACTCAGTCAATACGTACTCACGTGATCCCTCAGCCTCACAGCCAGGTGGCGTGCATTTTGTCTCCAATTGGTGGTTTATAATTTCTTTTAGATGGCGCCTAAGTTAAGTTTTCTATTTTATTATTCTGCCAGGAGCCAACGACTGATTGTTCACAATTATAAATAAGCTAGCTCAAGGAAATTTTAAGATCCGTGTCTATCTCATCAAGATAGAAGAGAGACAGCTGCTCTTCAAATTGTAATTTCAGTCGGAAAATCGAGTGAAGAGCGTATCCGGGTGGAGTTTTTCTTATTGAAAAGACTTGCCAAACAGTTAAGTTAAAAAAATGGCTCAAGATATAGGCATATAGATTCACCTGCTACAAACGAAAGACACCCGCAGTAATTTAGAATTAAAATGGTTAGGCACATAGCCATTTTTTTTCGAACTGCAAACAAACCGACATTCCTGTCTGCGAAATGATCTAAAATCAACATCATTTTTTATGGCATATTTCAATTTCTCAGTCCTCTGATAACCAGAGGGTAAATCATTCTTTCATTAACCTAGGATCATTTAACAACGGTTCTGATTTCATCCAGTTACCCTTTTTCTAAGAAGCATGAATTGAAAAACAAAGGGAAGAGAAATAGAAGTCAATAATTTACATGTAAAATGTACCATTTAAAGTCATAATAAAATTTTGAATGAACTATGTCTTCAAGTCTGTTATATTTCTCTGGTTTAAGATATTTTTATATATTGTTTTTCCGTTTTTTATTCCACGCAGGAATTAAAAAACCGGAACGTCAGTTACCTCTCCGACAACAGCTTTTCAAGATTTCTTTTAGCGGAATACTCGATTAATCCTTTATTTAATTATCAAAAAAAAAGAAAAAATATATATATATATATATAAACCAGCAGTCGATATTTACGACCCCTAGCATATTTTAAAATCTAAAATTGGATTTGGATGACCAAAGAAACCCAAAAGAGAAAATAAGCGACAATTTTAAACCAGCTTTGTTATAGCAACGTCGAAACATTTATGCTAATGAGCCAAAAGAACCTTTGCTTTTAAGATTTACATGACAGTAATTTCCTTCATTGTCACAGAATATCGAAAACAACCGGTGCTTGACTGGCTAGTATATGGGATCTTTCCCAAAGACATACGGTTCAATTTGGATATTGGGCCGACGCTTCTAGTTCACTCAAAGAAGTATTTTAGAGAAATGGGCTCAAACCGCATTAAGATAACGTTGTCGTTTCTCTTTTCCCTTGTCTCCACAATTGGTCCTCAGTTAGTAATCGCTGAAACAAACGTTAGAAAAGAAGAAAGTTGTAAATTAAGCCGAGCGACTCCAGTGCTTGAGGCTTTGGAAAAAGCAGTGTTTTTTTACAAAGAATATGGCGAAGATTTAAACTTAGACGCATATTTTGGTCTTCGTATCGCTGAAGGTAAGAATAGAGTTCCATTGGCAAACATGTAGCTTTATTACTAGTGAATTTTACTCAGTTCTTGCCAAAATTTCCTGAATATGAAAGAAAAGGTTATATTGGCGCTTCTCGTGGCTTTAGGTTGAACAAAATAATAATAATTTATTACCGTGATCGGCGCGCCACTTATTCTGATTTTTTCCTTACCTCTTGAACACAATCGACACTTTTTTTTTCGTCCTTTTTTTTCTTGTTTGAGGTACTTTGTACGAGTTAATAGGACAAAAGAAAACGGTAAAAGCGTTAATGAAGTCTTGCATCCTGAAGCAAGTCGTTCAACTTCAGACTCTGGTCTCTCAAATTGGTTCAAAATCGATGACTTCACTAAGGCGCAGAGATATGCATTACTTCAAAATGGTTGGATACACTGTATCACAGCCCTGGTTTACGGTCAAAAAGTATAGGAAAATTGACCCCAAGCTCACAACACCATTCGACAATAACGAACTTTCTGATGATATTCTGCATGATTATGAGCCCTGCCTGGCCAGGTTACTCGGTAGTCCTTTATATGGAAGTAGACCTTGTGACGTGCCTAAGGAATGCTTGGAAGTGATGATGCGACCGGGAGAGGTTGGATACGTGCTAACGCACCAAGCACTTTATTTCATGTTCGGTGAGCAAAGAGGTTAGTAACTGTCTTTGCCGTAAGAAACAGTATCAGTAACTGAGCGAAGACAAATGAACGGATGAAAGACAAACTGACCGACTGACAGACCGACTGACAGACCGACTGACAGACCGACTGACAGACCGACTGACAGACCGACTGACAGATTGACTGACCAACAGCCTGACTAACAGACTGAATGAATGACTGAAAAAGTGACTAACTGACTGACTCACCGCCTGACTCTCTGGATAACTGATCCACTGACCGACTAATTGGTTGACTGACTTACTAACAGACTGACTTTCGGAAAGGCGAATGACTGAATGACTGACTGATTGACTGACTGATTAACTGACTGACCAAATGAATAACTGACTGGCTGATTGACTGACTAAATGACTGAATAACTGACTAAGTGACTGAATGCCCGGCTTACTAAATGGTTGACTGACTGACTGACTGCGGACTGAAAGAATGAATAACTGACTGACTGAATGAATGAATAACTGACTGATTGAATGATCGAATGAATGACTGGCTGAATGACTGACTGACTGGATGACCGACCGAATGAGTGACTGACTGACTGATTGGCTGAATGACTGACTGACTGACTGACTGGCTGAATGACGGACTGACTGGTTGAATGACTGACTGACTGGCTGACCGAATGAATGACTGACTGACTGACTGACTGGCTGTCTCGGACTGACTGAATGACTGAATAACTGACTGACTGACTGAATGACCGACTGACTAAATGACTGACCGACTGACTAATTGACTGACTGATTGATTGACTGACTGACCGACTGACCGACTGACTAACTGACTGACTGACTGACTGATTGACTGATTGCCTGATTGACTGACTGACTGTTTGACTGACTAAATGACTGACTTAGTAAATGACTAACTGGCTAATTGACTGACTGACTGATTGACTGATTACCTGACTAATTCATCGTCTGATTTGCTGACCAACTGAATAAATGACTGACTGACT